ATAGTATTTAGAATAACATAGTCTAATTGTAGTATCACATTGAACAAATAATTGTAATGAAACGGTAGAGGGTCAAATAACTCACCAGTTGAGATGAAACAGGGACATGTATTCTTGAACTGATTATGAACACTGATACTTCAACTGTTTATGGCATACTGAGTAATCAATACTAAGACTCGGGGGCATCAAACCCAAGTCTATATTGAATACGCACTGAGCTCACAACGTTCAGAATGAAAGTCATGAAGGAGTTATGAAGCTAGAGAATAGAAGTTCTACAACTATTCAAGGAACTGGGCTAAACTATATTTCTGAGGCAATTAGTAACGTGGTAAAAGAAACATAGTGTAGGGAGAATCATTAACATTCCCAAACATAGAGAGTTAGCCTCACATACCTTAACTTCCTGCTCTTGAGCGTAATACAACATTTGACAACCCTTTCAACTTTAATCTATAGCTATACAAGTTAAAGGGATTCCATATTAGCTATGATACTCATGTTTTGGTCACTTAAGCATTTTATCAAACACTTGGTGAGAATAAAGCTTCATAGTCCTTATAAATGGTGTCTCTACACCCAATAACCCATTCTCTTGCTCCTAGATAAATTCTAAAGTCTCAAATGGTTACAATCAACATCATTCTTTATCACCCATAAGGTAAACAACACACTTAACCAATAATCAACAATCAACACCCCAAACTTATAACTGTTCCTGCTTTTCTATCAAACCCATCAACTCATATCTCATGAACTAGAGTCTATAATCATTAATCCAATGCTAGAATCAATTAGAGGGTGAAGACATTACCTTTTTGAAGTTCAATCCCCTTGAATTCGAGTTCTAGGGCTCCTTCTCTCAACAATGATGTCCCAATCGAATATCTAATAATATAGAGGGTGTAACCATGTTAATAAGATGTTGGAAAATTGAAATTAACTTAGAATCACCATTAGAACTTACCTTCGATGGTGGAGGGACCCTTAAGGAGTTAGGTTTTTGAGAGCTCCCCTTTCTAGAGCAAGTTTTTGTGTTTTGGGGGTGTGGGGGACGAAGTAAGGCTTTAAAATGATCGCCCAAGTGCGCCCCCCGCGCAGCTGAAGGCCTGACCGCGCACTTGACCGTGCAAAATGGCAGTAACACTGCCACAAGTGCGCGGCCGTGCATGGGGCGCGCACTGGGCGCGCATATTGCGCACTGTTCTGTAAAATGCATATAACGTTTTGCACAAAGATCCGTTTGGGATCCACAATAAATCGTTGGAAAGCTATTTCAAAGGCCTACAACGTTCATGTTTTGAGTTTTCCCAAATACCTTACCCATTTTCACTAAATCCTGCTTCAAGACTGACCTTTTGTAAACTTAGTAGATTTTATCGAATCTTGTACACTTCACTATTCGTCTTGATTCTAGAATAACTATTTTCAATCCATACTCATCCCTCTAGGACTTCATATGTCTAAAATATCATGTTAATACCCATTTAACATATCCACACATAGTCCGAATTTACAGGGTGTTATAGGTTAATTATACATGTAGTACTTGTAGACTGTATATAACCGAGCATTAACAACTCATTTTCAGATATAACAGAAAAAGAGAAATTTTCCAATTCTCTTCTCTTCTCTGATCTCTCACGATCTCTGCATCTTGAAGCTTCCATGGCTTCCACTTAACAGATATAAACCAAAAATAGTAATATTCATACAAATACTTTTTTATTAGTGACCTACAATGTAAAAATGTCTTTTTTAAATCGGTAGAAGCGTTTTGCTATAAATTAAAGTGGGTTTGGCGCCCCCTGCCTAGCAAATTTTGCTGATAGCTATAATAAACTACTAATTAAATGGGATAGGACCATTGTCTGAATCAGAAATATTTAATGCGGCAACCAAATATTTAAGACAAATTGAAGCAATATAAATTTTTCATAGTTGACCACGGAAACTCGATTTGCATTTTGATCACAAAAAACAAATGGACGTACTAGCGTAAAAAAAGAATTTAAACTTAAAGTAATCTATATTTATATCTATATTATATTAAAAGTAGGAATACCTTAACTAAAAAGTTAAATTACATAATTACCCTTTTAATTAATTTAAATATCATATTAAAGTAAAAAATTATTAAATTTGTATGAAGAGATGCAACCTTTCATAGTTGCTGCTTTATTGAGCCTAAAGGAGGGAAAGACACGATTGTTCATTTTATATTTCCTTTCTATATGTGACAAGAAATGTCAATTGGCGATTGTTGCCTTTGTAGACCATCTTCTCATACAAAGGAGTCTACATAATGCATTTCGAAGATGAGAAATAGAAATCCACACAAACCTTGTCAATGGAAAGAAAATTATGAAAAGCGTTAGACCGCATTCAAACGGCAGTTTTTGACGATATACAAAACTCTGGGATGAGACTCAATAAAAATCGGGTTCTATTATTTTAACTTTACTTTATTATTTAATTATGAATTCCTACCTTTTGTGATTTTTGTTACTTTTATTTTTTTAAATATTAGGATAGATGATATACTTATGATGATCTTAAAATACATGCTAAATTAATCATTTTTATATTTTTTAGTTGTTATTTCACGGACAAAAAGCATGGCATATATATATGTTGCATAATTGCATGCATAGATCAATCATGTGAAATTCATTTTCAAAATTGTGGGATGATATATTTAATTATAAAAGAACATTGAATCTTAACCAATATCTAAGTGTAAAGAGTATTTACTCTCATGATCTCAAATTGGTGTAAAGATTGTTTATTTCAAAGTGATTTTGTAGTATAATTATCCTATTTCATTGTTGTCTCTTAATTAAAACTATTATTAATAAAAGAGTTGGCAGTATGAATGGTCTAATCTTCTTGAAAGAATGAAATTTTATGACTTTTGTATTTCATAGAAGTAGAATAGAAGATAAAATTATTGTGAAAGAATAAAAGTAGGATATGAGAAACTTTTGTGGTCGTAAAAAATTCTAAGATAACCAAAGTAGTGAAGTAGAACTATATATTATAATGACTAAAACATGTAATGTTAAAATTCAACGTTAAAATTACGGGATCTTCAATCCATTGTTTCCATTCTTTTTTCTCCAAAAGAATAGAATATTCCAATTATTTACAGTACATTCTTTCCCATGTAATCTCATTTATGACCATTACAATTACCAACTCTTATTGCGATAAATTTAGCTTAAGTCAATTGTTTGTTTGTTTGCAAGAAAGTTTATTTATTTGAAAATTGAAATCTCAAAGCTTGGTACAAACTTTCATCTGCAAATTATTTATTCTTTTCACTACAGATTTAATATTGCATCCAATATAAATTTATGTTCTATACTCTCTTTCTATTAGGCTACTTGAATTACTCGGTCTCGCAATAGGCCACTGCAAGCACAAGATGTCAAATTATTTTAATTTATTATCTATTTTAAAAAATAATGTTGATCACGGTAGAAAGTAGAAAATCTATCTTATATATCATCACTATTATACTTATTTTGCTTTCTCTACCTAACCATATCATATTCGGTTAAAATAGCAAGCGAATTAAAATTAACAAAATAATGTGTACCTATTAACAATATTCTTCTGACTGAGTGATAACAGTATTAGTAATTCGAAGAGGTTCAGTAAAGCTAAATAAAAATCCAAGACGCAGAAGCATTTTGGTACTATAATATTAGTCGACGAAGAGGTAATACAATTTTTAATTTTTATTATAATTCTTACTTATTCATATTGCCTTTGTTAATGATATCATTTGTTGGTTAAGACTTTAATAGGGGAGAAATATCCAAGCAACCCCTTTCAATACTCATGTGAAAAAGTGAAAGGACTTCTTTAAACCAAATAAGAGCTAATATATTATTAATGATTAATTAAATCGTGTCAACCCTAATAACACTTCGGTGCACAAAAAACTTGAAATAACTTTTACTAACAACACTATAGTAAAGCAATCAGTCAATGACATTTCCACCCAAAAATATTTCAAATAATTTTGTATCCTTATTTACTATTTTTTCAATCTCATACATTTTAGATGTAATTTTTATTTTATTAACACACAAACCACTTATTGGAGAAGGATAGACCTGGAAAAGAGAGTGCATATGAAAGGTAAACTAAAATTACACGCATAAAATATAGTTACACACATGAAAAATATTTTCGTGCAATATATAAAATTATCACTTAGTTGAGATACACTTCATTAGATCATAACTCATAAAATTAAAATAGTAAAATATCATATTTATTAATTAAACTTTAATTATTAGTTTTTAAAAGTTCAAACGATATCCAATAATTTTAACCTTGACAGGGAAATTTACCCTACGACGATCCACATTGACTTTTCACAAATATTTATACTTTTCCTTTCATGTTTAATTATTTACTCAAAATGTTATTTTAATAACACTTATATTATTTTAAAAAATTATGTATTACATAGCTCAGCATACACGTGTCGAGAAACTAGTTAAAAGTAAATACCCCTGCCTAGCAAATTTTACTGATAGCTATAATAAACTGCTAACTAAAATGAGATAAGACCATTGTCTGAATAACATAATATACCTCTATTCATAATATGAGAATTTGGTTTTCTAAAAGAATAAGATAAGTAATTTTTTAAAACAAGTTAAATTACAGTAATTTGTACAAAAATTAATATATACTGCAATAAACCTCAGGGAGTATTATATTGGTAATGTAAGGTTGGTAAGCTCCATGTAAATCTAAATCAACCTAATCCTAGACTCCTACAGCCAGCAGCATTAATTTCCAAACTGCATAAGCAAAGCCACTCTTGGGACGTGCCCAATTAAATTAATTAAAGTAATAATCTGTAGATAAAGTAAAGCAAATTCTTTATACACTGAGTGACGGTGTACATTACTTATACTTCTATATAAATTGGTAATGAAGCTTAATTAGTTGACACAATTAGGCTGCAAGCTCCAATGGCAAAGAAGGAGAACAATCGCGCTGATCATGAGCAGCTCCTACAAGCTGAAGCTCAAACATGGGACTGCATTTTGAGTTTCGTGCGTCCTTATTGTATAACATGTGCAGTTGAACTAGGAATTCCTGATATTCTTCACAAAAATGGCATTATGACAATTTCTGACCTTGTTGCGTCTCTACCTAATCTGAACCCTTCTAAAATTTCCTTTCTCCCCATTTTAATGCGAATTTTAGTTCATTCTGGCCTTCTTCATTACCAAAAAGAAGTAGATGGCTATTCAGTCACAAGTGCTGGCTCTCTTCTCGTAGAAAATGAACCTTTTAGCAAGAGGTCAAATTTCCTTTTTAGCCAAAATCCTATTGCGTTAAAGCCATTTTTTTCCTTGAGCCATTGGTTACAAGATGATCTTCCCACTGCCTTTGACACAACGTACGGGAAATCCATGTGGGATTATTGCGCTGAAGAGCCAAAATTTGGTCATATTTTTAACGATGCAATGGCTAGTGATTCTAAATTGATATCCCATTTATTGATTAATTCTGAGCAGTGTAAGCATGTTTTTGAGGGTTTAACGTCGTTGGTAGATGTTGGAGGTGGCACTGGAACTGTGGCTATGGCTATAGCTAATGCTTTTCCAAGATTGAATTGCATTGTGCTTGATCTCCCTCATGTCATTGGTGACCGAAAGGGAATAACGACTGGGAACTTGGAGTTTGTTGCTGGGAGTATGTTTGATAGCATTCCTTATGCTAATGCAATCTTACTCAAGGTATATGTTACTTTACTTTTCCTAATTTAATCATTTTTCAGGTTCCTTCCGGGATATCCAATAAATTTAGAACGATACAGAGAAAATTAGCATGACCAATGCGCAAGGATATGACACACACAAAAATAATCGAATTTTTAAATAAAAAAAAAAATCATTTTTCAGCGTTAATTTTACTGAACTTTACATGGACTATAATAAATGAAGTCACAAAATAATTTCTTTAAAGTTAAAGTAATTAAAGTTATACTCACTATGATAGCAAAGTCACAGAAAATATTACCCTATTAATTAAAGTTTAATGACTTTATAATTATTATAGTGGGTAGTGTTCAATCACTCTAATATAACCAAAAAATAACACTAATTCTGTGGTTATAAAGAGTAACTATACCCCTATAAGTGAAATCGTTGTGAATATGGTTAGTAACAATATTCCCTTGAGATATTACTGTAAAGTTTAATCGAAAATATTCCTATACTATAATTACTTATATTTCTTTAGCATACGGCCTTTCCATTAATCTCCAAGCGTAAGGGTAAGGCTACGTACATCCTACCCTCCTCAGACCGCACTTGTAGAAATCCACTGAATTGTTATTGTTGTTGCATAATTACTGATATATAGCTGTAACTCCATGGGTAAAACAGTTTATATTGCACAACTGGAGTGACGAAGACTGTGTGAAGTTACTGAGGAAATGCAGAGAATCAATTCCAAGTAAAGAGAAGGGAGGGAAAGTGATAGTCATAGACATAGTAATGGAGGATTACTCGAGCAATAATATTAATGAGCAGCTTGTTCAAGTACAGCATTTAATGGACGTTGTCATGAGGATTACTCACGGTGCCAAAGAGAGAACTAAGACGGAATGGGAAAAGCTTTTCCTAGATGCTGGTTTTAGTGAATATAAAATAACAGCCAATCTTGGCTTCAGGTCTCTAATTGAAATCTATCCTTAGACAGCATGGTTTATGGATCATATCTTTAATTAACAAAATAAAATGAATCTTTGTCGCAGTTGCTTGACAGTCCATTGTTTCTTAATTATAAGTTGATTTTATGGGTGTATTTGGTTTGATAGAAGCACACTTTTCGGAATTGTGTATTTTCATTGTTGTGGGTGTGTTTTTATTGATTCAGCAATGTATTTCTACAGCTAATGTCGAAAGGCTTAAATTTGTCTCAATAAAATTAGAAATTGTTGTTCCATTATCACCTAATTTGACCCAAAATTTAGATCTAGATTTAAATATTAGATTTTTCTAATAGAATTGAATTAATTAATCTTAGCCAATATTAATATCCAAAAGATTGTTCAATTGATTTCGTGGCAAAATGTCACAAGTTCCATTTAAATAGCAATAAATGTGTAATATGGACAGTATTCAATGGCCCAAGAACAAAGAGAATAACATTAGATAGTAATAAATAATATATAATGGTATTTGTGTAAATAAATGCAAGTGAGGTAACCGAAAATGGGTGAGATTCTGTGATATTCATCCTAACAATGATTAATGATTGATGAGCCTTTGAATATTCGTATTCTTCTTGGATCCTGGGAGAAAAGTTAGACAAAGATTTGAAGAAAATGTGTATATTATATCGTATGTAATAAAGCAACAATCTTAAGAGAATTGTCAATATTTTGTTCTTTACAATGAGTGTCCAATCCCCCCTCTACAGCCACATATCTTTTCTCTTTATAAGGGCACGTTTGCCACAAAAACCCTAATAGTACAGATCGGAGGAATATTCACTTGAATAGTCTTATCATTAAAACTAGTGGTTACTGTCCTTCTAAAGGGAGTGTCCGTCCTTGTTCCTCTGTTGAGTCAGCTCGACCTCGTCTTCGTCCTTCGTCAGATCACTTCGACCTCGCCTTCGTCCTTTGTTGGGAACACATTGATGACACGTGGCGGCTTTCGAAGGCTCTCTTAGTATTAACTCGACCCACATATAATTAGGATAATTTTAGCCTATACACTTATCACTAACAGAGCTCCAGCATGATAGAATGAAAAATCATGTCTAAGTTTTTCCGAGGAAACATATCTATATTTGCTCATTTAACGTATGACAAACTATCATTCATTAGGAAATTAAGGGCAAAACATGAAATTCTTTTAGACATACTAATAAGATTGACCAAATATCAATAAAAGGCAAATTTTATTGATAGTCCCCAAGGCATTCAGCTGCTTGGATCGCCTTGGGTAGGGTATCTACCTTTTGCTTTGCAGTTCCATACGGGCATAAGATTTCAATGTGAAGAGTTTGATGTCACGTATGTTTAACATGAGCGCGGAGAATTCCCGCACGTAGTCCCGCACTGATTTGGTCTGGCGGTGCTCCTGTAGCTTTCTCCTTGCGTTGTATTCAACATTTTCGGGGAAAAACTATAGGCGTATGGCTGCCTTCAGTTCTGCCCATGTCCCGAGAGCATCTTCACCGGCCCTGATGGCTTCGTACTTCACCCGCCACCAGAGTTTAGCATCACCCTGAAGATACATGGCAGCAGTTGCTACCTTCTTAGCTTCTTCTAGGCCCCCAACAGCATCGAAGTACTGTTCGATGTCAAAGATGAAGTTTTCCACTTCCTTGGCATTCCTAGCTCCACTGTATGGCTTTGGCTCAGGAATTTTCAGTTTTTGTGTCGCGGAAGCGGGGTTCATAGCGCCACCGATTTGGTTTCCACCTCCTCGAAGCAGGCCCTATAAAGCAGCATTGACAACATTGAGCTGGTTTGTCAAGTTGTCAATAGTTTGTTACATGGCAGTCACCCTGTCTGCCTCTTGTGCCCTGTAGGCTAAATCCTCGACACGCTCCTATTGGAGTCCCTCGAATTTGCCAAAAATTTCGGCTACCTCTGTGGCTGCTGTTTGCCGGTCTCCCTCGGAGTCGCGACTGATGTTTTCTATGTCAACTTCGGCCTGGAGCACTTTGCGGTCCAGGTCGTCCAACCTTTGCACTAGGCTGGTTCTTAGTTCAGGCACCGTATCCACGATGAGCCGTAATACATCAACTGATTCTTCAAGGGCCGCAATGCGGTCCCCATGATTCACCATGGTCAGAAATGGTGGTAATAGCAATGCGTTCCCTCGTTCGATGTCGAGCCTAGGCTCTGATACCAACTTTTACGTAGTGCATTCTTGAGATTCCTTGGAAGGGCGACGTAAGGCTAAGCAACTAATGTTAGTGCAGTTATTGTCTGCCAACTGAGGTCCCCTCCGTACGCTAGACGAGATTGTCAGTGCCGTACGGAAAAACCAAAGTCAAGAGGAATTGAGAGAACAGAAATGAGGATTGAGAATGAAAGAAAGCTTGATTGCATTAATGAAAGCTATTACAGAAAAGCAACACGGTGTCGAGGGGGAGAGACACTAGTACAGAGAATTGTTTGCTTGCTAGAAAGTTTGATTGCTTGATCCCTCCTAATAATGCTTAAAAAAATAAACCAAAGCTACAAGACTAGACTTGACTAAGCTAGAGAAACATAATGGAAGTACATGAAATAAAACTATCCTATATTTACAATGAAAAGGACTTAGTTTTCTACAAGGCAGAAACAGGTCAGTTGTGAGCAGCATTGTCGTTGGAATCACGGTCTGCGCGCGCGGTGCTGTTAGCATCTGCCTGCGGCTGGGCGCTGGCGAGGGATATCGGTGGGGCGGCAGAGGCACATGCGCGCTTGTCACTTGGCGCAGCCAAGACCACGGGGTCGTCCGTGGCGTTAGGCGTTGGGAGGCTTACTAGGACGCTACGAGGCGCGCCCAAGGAGTCATGGGGCATGGCTGGAAAGTCGCCCATGACATAATGCATGCGTTAATAGCCTTGGTATTGCTAATATCATGGTTTATTATGTATTAGTTATACATAGGGGTGTTCATGGTTCGGTTTGGATCGGTTTTTCCCGAAAAAGAAACCAAACCAAGTAAGTCGGTTTTTCAAATATTAGAACCAAACCAAACCAATTAAGTCGGTTTTTTCTCGATTCGGTTTATGTCGGATTTTGTCGGTTTTTCGGTTTTTTCGGTTATTTATCGGTTTTTTTCTTAAATATACGACATACACTACCAAACACATATTTCGGCGACCACATTTTTAACGTAACACTATCAAATCAATTGCCCTTTTAGAAATCTATTATTTATCAAGATATATTGATAATAATTGAATTAAATAGTGATGAATAATTTAAGGACTCAATTAAAAATATATTATTTTTAACATGAAATGGATTCTTACACTTAACAAAAGAAAACTACCAATCAAATTAGAATGTAAAGGTAAAGAACTATACTAAAAGTGCAAACTATTAACATTTACCATAAAAATTTTGAAACTTTGTATAAAAATATACATATATATATATATAGGTGTAATAATAAATTTGAAATACTTACTCCTATAGTCGGTTTGGTTCGGTTTTTTTCGGTTTTTTTCTGATTAAAACCATAACCAAGCCAAATTTGATCGGTTTTTAAAATTCAAAATCAAAACCAAACCAAACCAAAAAGTATCGGTTTTTTTTGGTCGGTTTGGTTTGGTTTTCGGTTTGGTTTTGTTTTTCGGGTTTTTATGAACGCCCTAGTTATACATAGGATAATACCAAATAGGTTGTATAACTAATACTTATGTTAGTAATATATAGGTTGAAAAAGTGTACCAAACATGAGATTAGTAATGCCAAGAGCTAATGCATGCATTATTTTCTGTAACGCATCCTACCAAGCGACTTACATTACTAATATATCCGTGAGGTTTATTGCAGTGCACATTAATTTTTATACAATTACTGTAATTTAACTTGTTTTAGTAAATTACTTTTCTTATTCTTTTAGAAAACCAAATTCACATACTATGAATATTTACTTTTAAGTGGCCTTATGGTGTAAATTTTTTTTTTACACTAGTACGTCCATTTGTTTTTTGTGATCAAAATGCGTCGAGTTTCCGTAGTCAACTATGGAAAATTTATATTGCTTCAATTTGTCATAAATATTTGGTTGCCGCATTAAAACTGATTCAGACAATGGTCTTGTCCCATTTTAATTAGCGGTTAATTATAGCTATCAGCAAAGTTTGCAAGGCAGGGGGCGCCAAACCCACTTTAATTTATAGCAAGATGCTTCCACCGATTTAAGAAAGATATTTGTACATTGTAGGTCACTACTAAAATAGTATTTGCATTAATATTACTATTTTTGGTTATTTCAATAACAACAAATTTTATAACAAATTAATGTAGCATATTCAAACAAAATACCATTTTCCTTTAATAGTGTGTAACTCGCGTAACTCTTTCACAAGATTAGGGATTACATGTATTATCTTATTCCTCTTTCTTTCCCATTTATCATAAACTATATCACATCTCTTTACTATTCAAAACCTTAGCAGCCACCCTTGCTCCACAATCACCTTTCCATCGTGAACGTTTCCACCGTGGCTAAAAATGCTTGAAGAATATTAAAGAAAAACTAATATGATAAAACATAAAATTAACATACTAGAATATATACAGTAAAATTGGTTTATAATAAATGGTCGAATGATAGTATGACAAGTGGAACCGAAGACAGATAAAAGGCGAATCAAGTAACAACTAGTACCGGAAACAACAGTTGCAATTGATATCGGATAAATTCTGAAGGGAGCATGGTCAACGGGAGCAGATCCAACGTTTGCCATCGGATAACATTCAATGAAGAATATTACCTGGGATTAAATGGGCAGCCGTTGCAGATAATAATTGCATTCATGGCCTGTCGTTACATATTCATCAATTGCTCCTTTATTATCATTTAACTGGGGCTTGATCCTAGGATCTTGTTTCCCTAGGTATAGCTATAAATAACAGGCTTAGCAGCCAATGTAAGGCATGAAATTCTTGGCAAAGCACATGCTGTACTTCATTTTCATTCTCAACTAAACAACTTTATTTGCTTTTTCATATTACTCTCATTTCTGCACTCAGAGACATTGTGTCCGGAGCCAGGCTTGTCAACTTTTTCAATTCCAATTTCTAAGTCTTGCTTTTAATCTTATTTTA